AGATAGATAGATAGATAGATAGATAGATAGATAGATAGATAGATAGATAGAAAGATAGATAGATAGATAGATAGATAGATAGATAGATAGATAGATAGAAAGATAGATAGATAGATAGATAGATAGATAGATAGATAGATAGATACGGGCAAGCGTTGGTGTTGTAGGCGTCAACAGAACTGTGTGGGTTCATGAGTAGGCCTATGCAGACAGACATACACACATATTGATGGATAGAAAGATAGAGAGATAGAGAGAGAAGGACTGCTACATTGGAAAAGATAAACTAATAAACAGACCAGCTACAAATATGTTAATACTTATATATTTTGTTTTGGCTACATGTAGGCCTACATAGACAGGCTAGATGTACACAGTACCTATGAAGGCTAAAAAACCCCCCTCCAACCCCTGTTATTATAACGGAAGCACAATAACGTAACCCACATAGACAGATGGGTAGAACCAGAGAGTTTACAGTAATACTATGACTGTAAACCCTCTCTGGTAGAACTACAGCATCATGTCTCAACTGTAGGCTTTACAAATCTTTTTTGTTTTGTTTGTTAGCCGTAGGCCTATCAAATTTGTGTCGTTGATCAAGGAAGCTGGCGTGAAATGTAACCTCGAAACAAACACAAACACACCAGGCGCCACAGTATAGATATACCCCTCCCCTCTTTTTTTCAAACCCTGTTTTGAATACATTGTACATTATTCCATTCGATGATTGGATTCCTTACAAATTTACAAGGCTTCTCTAAGTTGTAGTCTTTAAAAACCAACACGACTGAGCGTGGGCTACGATGCGAGGCTACTGAAATAGTCTTAGGCCTACTACTGAATCATCTTGTAAACCACGGAGGAACTAGATTTAGATCTACACATAACAGTAACAGTGCGCTCCTGTTCTCTTTTCTTCTTTCGTAATGCGGTATAGTATAGTGATCCTGGATATCCCTCCGGCTTAAGGACATACCTAAAAAAAAAGGGGGAAAAAAAGCCTGTTCTCCCACCCCCTCACTTCATAACACCCGCCTTTTTATGTATAGATGAGATGGAGGGAACAGCTTTTGTAGTCATGATAGGCGAGAAGTAAACATCTTCTATCGCATATGCAGCGTGGTTGAGAGGCTTTAATCACGTTTATATTATTTAGCAAGTTCAACTATGCTAGAGTGCAGAAAAAAAGAGGGGGAAAATCGCACTGTTGACCTCGTGTAGCTTTTGACCTCGTGGCTATTTAGATAAATAACCACCTCCCGCTGGAAGTTGTAAAATAAAAGCACTTCCGTTCTAAAGGAATTTAGCAATCGCTTGATGTTGCAGTGTAGTTCCTTATTCATATCGCAATCTGTTGATTACGTTTCAGTGGTTGATACCCCATAAGATAAACGATGTATCAAAGGAAATAAACCCATTCCATCAAAATTAGGATCATGGGGACTAGATGAGACCCCAGCGCACGAGTCTTGTGGTTGTGACAAGGCACACTACTTTTTTGTATTCATGCTCTGACCAAAGCATCGGCCCGAATATTTTGTTTACAGTTTTTATGTGCCCGATCAACCTCATGTGTGTTCATATATGGCTTCAGAACTTTTATACCTCGGCATTTTGTTTACGATAACATTCAATTGTATATATGGCCAAGGTAAGTTCCATTCGTTGTCTTTGCATGTGTTTAGAAACATCTGCTTGGCCAAAATTCCCCACCACCACGGTGTGACCTCGCTCATAGAAGAAAAACAACATGGCGCCTGCCCCGAGTAGGGCACCCCTGAAACCAGGCCAAGTGGACACACACATTTTAGATAAGAGGGTCATGTAATTCTACATCTTCGAAACAAAATCCAGTTATTTCTTTGTATACGCTGCCATATGACATCCCCGTGAAGACTTTAATTGCCGAACCTTGTTGAAAACGGCCTTTTTTCATTCCCTTTGATTGATGTCCCTCCCCTCCCCCCCTCCCCCGGCCCCTCATCATTGTCATCGTCATTTAGTTCACCGACTTAAAAAAAAGTTAGCAGTCAAGGAATATGCGTCCCATAATTGTGTGTTATGGTATAGGCTTCTGTTTTGGAAGGCTAATGATTGCAGTACCTCTAGATCTATATAAATAAGTGATGACAGTCCGACATGGTCTTGTGTTATGGATTTTTGGAAGTCGCATTTTTTCCCTGTATTGTAAACCCAGCAGGGCAATGGGTTATTAGGGCAGTGAAATCACTGGCGACCAAATTGCCCATATCGTTGGCCAGCTGTTATAATGTCAGAAGCCTATATTTTTAAAAACTTTTTTTTTATTGCAGTTTCTTATTCTATGGCTTTATGATAGGCCCTCTATTGGTTGTAGATTCTAGATCTAGATCTATGTGATAGTAAGAAATATTTTGTCGATATTAAAATTCTACATAGGCCTAGATTCTAGAATCTAGATAATCTAGATCTAGATCTAGATCTAGATATATCTATGGGTAGGAAAAAGCAGGAAAAGTCCATTGACTGCAAGCTGTCAAATCACGATCACAAGTGTACAAATGTACGTAGCCATGCTCTCCTCCTGGGCAGTGTAATTTATGAGCACTGTTGACCACCAACATGGCTACGAGATGCAGTGGCGGGTGTGTACTTACACAGACAAAGTTCTACGTCTTGGAGACATTTACGATATATTCTTCTAAGATATGTGGGAAAAAATGAACGCATTTGGACCTACTGATGATGATAGCAAGGGGATAATAATTTAATGCATTTTCAAAACTGCTGAAGGAAATCCTAATGTTGAGCAGGGAAGAGTGAAATTTTGAAGGGCTGTTACATTAATTAACCTATGGGTGCTCAGCTACCTACAGAAAATGGAAAGATAATGGCTCATCGTTACTTTTGCGAAGTTCAGTCTCGTCTACCAGAATTTCTTCACTGTGTTGTGTTTTTAATTTTCACCTGTGTAATTGACCTCAAAATTGCTCCCGGCGGTGGCGTTAAACATATACCAAAAAACGTCTATAATTTGATAAGACGGAAAAAAAACCTTTCTTGTCACATGTTAGAGGGGTAGTTCACAAAGACAGCAAAGAGGCAATGAGACCAGAGAAAGAAACGGACAAAAAGACAGCTGTGGTGACCCAAACAAAGGAACCATTGGACAGTGGGCGTCGTCTGCATGAATGTTTATTGTGTTTTGAGTTCCGTGCTCAAGTTCAAGGCTTCTGCTCTGTTGTACTATAGAACAAAGCTTGCTGTGCATAACTGGACTGTCTACAGTATGACAGTGTGGGACATGAAATGCTGTGTCTGGCCTGAAGGGGAAGGTGGACTGCCTTGGTGAATTTTGTCTCGCATAGTAGACTTACCTATAGATAGCAGAATAATACAGTGCATCGATGGCTGCCTTTACCAAATTAAAAATACCACACTGACCAGCGCCATCTCAGTTACAGCTCACGAGCTCAACGTCTCTATCGAAAAGAAGAATCTCTTGAAGAGATTTACTCAAATGGAGGTCAATACCATTCATATTGTCTTTCTGTGATCCCCCAGAAATGCTCTTACACACTTACCTTCTGACTATGTTAATGTTTTCAGAATGGTGCATGAAAGCCCTCAACGATAGGAAGCCCAACACCTATGCAGTATTTTCATCAGCAAACATTCATCATTAAATAATATTCGACCAAGAAGGAAAAAGTGGTACTTGTAAGCGTTTCGCTATTCCTCAAAAAAGGAGACATTCAGTACAATTACTATCTTGCTTTCTGTGATGACTGGCAGAACATGCCTAAATTAGGCTACCCTAAACTGTCAAGCACCTCTGCCCCATCGCTACACTAGCAAAGAAGACCCAGCACAAGTACAAAAGACCGACATTTACAGGAGTTAAACTTGACAGGAACAGCTTAACTTTCCATACTCATACAACACAGCAAGACAAATTATTAAAACCGCAAAAACAAACTAAATTTAATGAACAGATGGGCCTTGGGAAAGACAGAGGGAGCAGTTTTCAAACATATGAGACAGACCTGAACTTTCCTTGTGTCCTTTGTGTGACTACGCATGGGAGACTGTTGAACATCACCTGTTCTACTGCACAGACCTTAACGGCATCAGAGCTACGCTTCTGTCTCTGAGACCCAAGTTCAAATCTACAAATTCAGCCATGGATGTTTTTAACATGTAGTGGTTTTGATTTTTTTTTCATTTGAGCCCTGAGAAGCTTCCTTACGGTGTGCTTGAAGGTGTGAATAGAAGGTGGTCTTAGTGCAGGAGATCATGAATCATAGCACGGTGGATCCATCATTCAAGATTGGGTTGTAGCAGGGCGGGATTTGTAACTTGAGCGGGTGTGGGGGGAAATAAAAGATCGGCAGTATTAATCCCCTCCATTGCCAGAGGTGTCATATAATCCTACTTAACAGCCAGGGACAAGTCTCGGGGCCAGGTACAGAAGGGTTTGATTACATGATTGTTTTGGAAGGATGTGCTCTGTTGTTTTCAGACCCTTCAGTTCTCTTTGCTTGTTCTCAGAAATGACTGTTGCCCGACATTGACAGGTTTTAAGTTGGAGCAGGCACGTTAGCTTCATTCACAGGACTCCTGATGTTGGTTGCGTCATAGTTTTTTTTCTATTCCTTAGTGCTCTGAGTGAGGTGTCTTTGTCCTCAGAGCTGGACTAGTTGTGTAGTTTTTGTTGTTGTTACAAAGTACAGTTGAACCTTCTCTAACTGCCACCTGCATTTGTGTAAGACAATCACCTGTGCAAAAGGCCACTTCCTATTTCCTCCCTTGCATATTTTTTTTACAATGTAATGACGCTCTTTCTGTCTTGGACAACTTAAGCTGTATGTTAGGCATTGGAAAGTCTCTGATTTTTGTGTGTGTGTGTGTGTGTGTTAGCTGTTATGGAGTGTTAGTGCTTGATTTGTTTTTGTATTTTTCTTTGTTGTGTCAGAAGAAAGTAAAATAAATAAATAAAGCGTTGGCAATAAAAAAAAATGTTCGTTAGTGTTTGCACCTGTTGAAGGATACTGAACGAAAAGGTTGGAATTGATGGGGAAATTTATTAGTGTTCTGACTAATTTGATTTCTAAGAACATTGTTCCCTACATTAAAGTTGATCTCTCTGGAGACAACGATTTCTTTTGTGTACATGGCACTCCGCGTAATAATGCTTAAGTAATTTGATTTGTTAACAAAATCATTGGGAGGAAGAGAGAGGATCAAGGATTGCATTTAATTTGATCTTGAGCCTTCTCAACGAGACTTAATGGCCACTTGGCTTTAATGGCCACTTGGCTGGTAGACCTGGAGTCAAGTGGAGACTCTTATCTTGTTAAATGAACGATGATATCTCTGAGCCATGTCCACTCCTGACAAGCTATCTCCTCACTACCTTTGTAGGGGACACATGTAAGCCCCCACCAGCCACATAGTGATAGTGCAAAAAAAGGCTGCTTATCATGGGTTTTTGTTTTACAAGATTAGGTCATGTGGTTTTTGCACTGGGGATCTCAGTATCGGTGGTTTGAGCTGATTTGATTTCAGCACTTATGTTTTTAAGTTTGTGGTTTCGTCTATGCCGAAACAACTTGTGCAGGGCAAAATATTTAGTTCATGAATGGTCTGAGATGTTTTTCTGCAAGTGGAAAATATGCAGAAGTGTGTAATGGTGCAGGTTATTTCTTGATGTTATTGTAGATTTAGGCTTTTAGAATGTCCGAAGTCTAATTATGATTCATAATCGGTTGACTAACAGTGTGTAAGTGAGGGAACTGAATAATTGTGTCTTTGTACTCTTGTAAACCATTTGTTTTGCTAAAAAATAGATTTCAGCAATATAGTGCCTCTGTAAATTTCTTTGATTGAAAATTCAACTCAAGTTTGGAGTATTAAGTCGGCTTGTATTTCTTCTTTTCTTTCCAATTTTTACCGATTTGTAATGTATTTTAAAAGTGTTTTGTTTTAAGCTGTGTTTTTGGAAAAGCCGATCTAATATGTAATGTTTTTTCAAATTTTTTAGGTTTTTCAAGAACCAAGGGCAATGGAGTAGACAAAATAAAGCCAGGGGTTGCACTGGTCCCTGCAGCTTACAAAGTGTATTTACAGCGGAGAACACCTGTGCTGCTCAATTGCTCCCTCAACGTAACTGACCCGTCTTTGCGGCCTCTCAGCTATACCTGGTTCAAAGATGGCGAAGAGGTAGATGTGGATCGCCCCAAGTCCAAAATCCAACTTTTTCAAAATGGATCTTTGTACTTGGGGCCAGGTTTTAGGCGGAGGAATAGGGGTCGGAATTCTCGCAAAATGGATGGATTGTACGTGTGCAAGGTGAAAACGACGAAGGGGATTCTCATCGCTCGGCGCGTGCATGTTGTTATGTCAGGTAGGCAACTTTTGATTATTACTGGGAAGATTCTTTTCAAGCTTCTTTCCTCTGCTTTTTTCCTTGTGTTTGTCTTTTGTGTCCTTTTTTGTAACGTTGAGACTGGTGGTGAGTTGTGATTTTGTTACTGAAGTTCAAGAAAGGGGGGGGGGGGGGTGTTGTTAGGTCACTTTGGTTAAATGATAAAGTTCTAATTGGTCCAGCTTTCAAGGTTTCAGTACATACACATTTGAATAATGAGTAGCTAAGACAGGGAGAAATTTGCTTTCAGCTGCTTTTTGAAAATCAATTTCAAACACAGCTTTGTGTTTTAAAGAGTTGTTTTTTTTGAGTGGAGGAAATTCATTTGATTTTCCGTTCTCAAATGAAACAATTCCAGGGTTGCCATGTAACAAGAACATAAGTTGCTGTGTTTGAATAGTGACCAGATCTAGATGTATCATTTGTCAAATCTAACAAGAAGGACAATTGCTTACTGATGCAAACTCTTGGGATTTTTGGGTTTCTCCTGTCACTTTATAAATTTTGAAAGTAATTTAATTGTGCGCTAATCTGGGCACAGGGTCCTGAAATTTTATGAAACAGTGTGCAGGAGTAATGAGTAGATTGG